TACAGGGCAGGAGAAAGAGACAATAAGGAAATTTGAAGGTCAACAGGCCCTATTAATTCAGGACCCTTTGACAATCTCATGTCTCATTCTAAAATACCAAATCACATTTTCATTTAATTTAGTATTTGTTAAATTCTAAACTTTAGACTCTGAGTATTTACATGTTATAAAAACAGACAATCTAGGAACCCTGTGTCAATATAAAATCAGTATTTTTGCTCTAACCTTCTTGATTATCATTTTCTTGGTCACTCAGATCATCCCACTTTACTTTTAGATTTGCAGACACTTTCATGAAGGTTAAACTTCCTGGGTGAGGCAAAACGGTAAGTGCTCACTCGTTAACAGAAAGTTTGGTAAACTGAGTCCACCCAGAGGTGCCTTTGAAGAAAGGTTTGGCAATCTCTTTCGGAAGAATCAGCCACTGAAAAACTTAATGAACTCAGTCCCCCTCTGACACATGTAGGGAGTGGGAGTTGACTCCACGGCTGCTGTTTTGAACCTTCAAGAATTAATTGGGATAGAGTTTGTAAAAATTTCACACTTTCTACTATTTAAAAATATTAATGAATTTTAATTCAATGGTCACTTACCAAAGATCCTCACACCTCCTCCTTCCTAGGATTTATGGCAATTCATTGTTCGCCACACTAGAGTCCTTTCCAGAGGGTTTATATTCCTTCGGTGAACATATATATCTCTTAATACCTCCAGGAAAACACAACAGAGGCCAAGGAATAAAATATCTACCAGACATTAGAGAAAAAATATTGTCAACAGTTTTTACAAGTTTTAGGAGGTAGGCTTTAGTTGTCTAGAAATTGTTTTCAACCAGGGAATGGTGTTTCATAAAGAAACTAGATACATTCAACTTTAGTATAATGAATTCTTTCTTACTTCACACAATCTGAATTCAGCTCATAGCCTCCTACTTGACTTGAGATTCTGAGTAATCCCATTTATCATTTCTAACAGAGTAAAGAAAACATCAGTAACTGAGATCATTAGAAGCAATGTGCACTGTATACTATCCCCAGTGGAATGTGACTAAACCAAAAACAATGAAATTGACTTATGTGAGAAAAAACTCAGAACAATAAAATATTGGCAGCTTACAAACATGCCATTCAGGTATTATGGAAATAAGCCAGTCAAAATCACTCAAGGCACAAAAATAAACTAAACTTACTGTGTTTGAATGTCAGAAGGATTTTCAGGTAATAGCTTGTAAAATAAAGGACACCTTTAAAGTTCCAAAGTAAATCTCAGAAACCTAGATCTTTCCTTCAGAGAGTAACAGTCCTCAGGAATTCTAAAGGAAAAGATTCCCAATAAAATCATAAGCTTTTTTCTTGTAAATGGGTTCTGCTGTTTCTGTCGTGTTTAATTTTATATTATGTCTTTGTTTTCTTATTTCAAATCCTACTTCAAATCCTTTTATACAATTAGATAAAATACAAATTGTAAATACATTATGGGAGAAAGACAATATTTTTCTGGGTTGGGTGGTTAATCATTTAGTCTTCATAACAACCTTAAAAACTTAGTCTCATTTTGTAGAGGTCTATTTGAGTCTTGGTCTCTACAAGAGGTTTTTTAAGTTCACAAAGCTAAAAAGCCTATATAGATATTACTCCTAAGCATAAGGTCTTACATAAAACAACATGACTTTCATATTTGCTTTGTGTTATAAATGTAATTGTATGTTTAATATAATTTATTATGTATAATCTGGTATATGTTAGATAATAATATGTTCACTCACATAGCAAAATGACCTTTGGTTTTAATCTGGTTCTCTGACATTATTTGAGCATAAAAGAAATCTGTTCTGTCTGACAATTAAAGCCATGTGACATGCCCAAGTACGAAGTGGTTGATTTGTACAAACATGGATCCCAAGCACATAATTCTCCTCTCACAGCTGTCCCCGTGGAGGCAAGAGGCCCTCTGGCTTTCTCTTCTCTTTTTCTTGCAGTCCTACTCCCATATTGTGTCCACTGCCTCACTATCCTGCTGTCCGTCACTTTAGAGAGCACAGTGTAGTCACTTGTAGTTGAAGAGAATTTCTGATATAAACTGGATAATGTACTTCATCTTATAGAAGCACCAGTTTGATTCTTTTGATATTTCTACCCTGGGTAGCACACAGAGTTTACACTAGGCTAATAACCCACCAGCCACTCCTCGGAAGGAATGTTGGGCAATCCTACTTCCGTAGTGATACTGCCTCGGAAACCCAAGGAGGGGTCACTATGAAGTCAGGTTTGACTCGACGGCACATAACAACAACAATAACCAAAAGATTGGAAGTTCAAATCCACAGAAGAAAGATCTGGTAATCTATTTCCATAAGATTGCAGCTGAGAAAACCTTGTGGGGTACAGTTCTACTCTGACACACGGGTTGCTATGAGTCTGAATAGATAGGGCAGCAACAGTTTCTTTGGATATACTTTGCCTGACGGGCTTTTTTTTTCATGAGATAGACTCTGCTTGGAATAGCTCCCTCTTTTCAACTCCACCTGTACCTGGAAAATACCTTCCAGGCCTCTACATGCAAGTTACAATTAATCTCCTCCAGGCACCTTTTAGCCATATCTCTTCTGTACCCATTTTCACTCTGTATTAAAATAATCCGTCTCTAAGTCACCTTCAGCTAGTATATTGGGAGTTTCTTGAAAGCAGGGTTGCTGGTTTATCATTCTTCAGCATTGGTACATAATAAATCCTTTATAGAGTTATTTTTAAAAAAATACAGTACTGATAGTTACCTCCAGGTAAATCTCACAATATTTTATAATGTAATTTATGTGTAATTCTCTGCAAAAGAACCTCACAATTTTGAAAAAATATTCTTGAAGAGTTCATCAGAACCATAAAAGATTATGATAATACATCTACCATTGTTCACAGAAGTACGGGGAAAGATTAAAGGCAGCTTAGATTGAACTGGACACCAATACATGGAAAAATTTTTGAAAGTCTTAGAACTTAGAAACAATTAATTTATATTTGTGGTCATTTAATTGTGCCCATTTAATTTGACTCATTTCCAAATTCAGACTCTCCCTAGATTTTAAAAGTTGCAGTTGCCCATCCATCTTATGTCTGTTTTTTCAATCCAACTCTCAAGCGAGACTTGAGAGCCAGTCTTTGCAAGGATATATATCTCTTTGACCCTAAGTAAGGTAGAAGACTCAAGGTAGAAGTTTCATGCCTCTGTTTCTCCCATATGCACTTGTCGTCGTCCCAATATGAGATGAGCCTCTTGCCATTCATTCTCAGGCTGAGGAATGTTAAGCACTGGAACACTGGAGCCTGCATGGAAATTTACCTGTGTCTCTTAGGGGCTGAGTGGTCAGAACCACTGTTCACCTCCAAAAGTGTATCATGATATTTATACCTATGTCCTAAGGATTTTATGAAGATGAAGAGACTTAATACAAGGAAATGGTTCAGCATTGTTCTAGGCATATAATATAAAACCAAAACAAATCCACTGCCATTTAGCCAATCCCAACTCATAGTGACCCTTGAGGACAGAGTAGAACTGCCCATTAAGGTTTCTGAGGCTGTAAATCATTATGGAAGCAGACTGCCTCATCTTTTTCCCATGAAGCAGCTGGTAGGTTCGAACTGCTGACTTTTTGGTTAGCAGTCATATGCTTTAACCACTATACCACTATAGTTCCTTGGCATGTGATAAATAATCTATAAATGTTAGGGAAAAGATATGTGCATCAAACCTGTTTTTAGTGTGTTCAATCTTTCCTTTCTTCCTGCTCAAAAAAAGAACTTCTATATTGTATTTTGTTCCTATCAAATCTTTGCTCTGAAGAAAAAAATATGGGTTAATATTTTTCTAGGTATATGGTCTGCATGTTTTAAAACAATATGCTTTGCCTTCATGCATACTTGAATATGCCCAAATTGCCGACCTGCATGGTTCTACTAACTAGAAGAAAACCCTGTAATGCATGGAGACTAAGGTCTATTTGGCATGAGGGCCTAACCTTAGGATTCTGCCCTTCTCAGCATCGTGGAATGTGATGTGTGTGCAACTCCGACTGCTCTGCTTACTAAACTACACTTCACTGCAGAGAACTAATTTTGACAAATTCTATAAAAGGAAAACTTCTGGTAAGCAGGCAGGTCTGCTGACATTTGATAATATCTAGTTGTGAGTGAGATTTTAGAAGGCACACCTGCCTATGTCGATTCCTGGATTTAAAAAAAAAATGCAGCATGAGTCTATGGAATGAAAATTAATGATAAAACATTTTGCAAGCATTTCATATGGGATCATATGTTAGCTAATGTTTACAGTTCATGGCCCGGTTGGTTTTAGTTAATTAAAGAAATCACTTGGGATAAGGAAGCACTGAGAAATGATTGTGGGTTTTTATACAGTTCATAATAAGCCCAGAGACTTGAGGGAGCATTTCAAGGTTCTATAAAACTGAATATATTTTCCCTTTGGCTCATTATTTACTTAACTACAGGTCATTTATTTTGGCAGGAGAAAATGTACCTGTTCAATATCGAAAGGCCTATGAATTTCATCCTTCTTTCATTGTCCTATTATATCATTTTAAATTTTTGTGGTTAAATGAAAAGATCATTATTTTTCTATATATTGGGACTCCTCTCAGCTTCTGCGATTTTAGTTTCCATAATTTAAAGTGCATATTGAAAATAAATTGCTTTATTTGATCTCATGTAGATTTTCCATTAATGAAGTCCACTAGATATATTAACTTTGAATATACGTCTATGAAAAATAATATATTCAGAAATAGGTCTGAGGATAACTGAATCTGTGAATGTATCCATTTAAAGATCTCACCTAATAACAGTTTTCTTATTGCATAATAATATGAATTTATATTCAGGATGATGAATTATTCATGTTGGGGACAGATCTAGCTACTTTAGTTATAAATATTAAATTTGCTAATAATTTTTTCCCCACTACTTACTCCTGCCTTGTGTACACAGGACAAAGCCCAGCCTTACCACCTCCGTTACCTACAGAACAAGCTTCCAGACCCACTCCAGTATCACCTACTACTGAAGGCAAGTAATTAATATTAGTTCCAAAGCTTTATTCTACATAAGTAGAGTAGAATGTAGAGAAACAAAACAAAATTGTTATAATAGCAACAACAAAACCCAATATTTTCTTACATAGCTTTAGTATGCCTAAACTACTATTTACTTTTTCTGAAATTCTAATTTGCTCCTATTTAGAAAACCAGGCGTTTCCCCTTAAGAATCTATTAAGAAGGATTCTCAGCTTGGTAACCAGCCAGAAAGCACAGAAGCACAGGGAGAAAGACAGTGATTTGCCTTGCATTTTTTTCTGTTTTACCCCATTTTGCTCAGTGTGCGCCTTAACTTGGGTGACAGAGTTTCTAGTTTGAATCTGAGCTCCACCTCTTCCTAGTGACATAAATTTCCGAACGATCTTACAACACCTGTGAAGTCACTATTATTCTTCTCCCATCTTGTTGTTGTTGTTATGTGCCTTTGAGTTGGACCTGACGCATAGCGACCCCTCCTTGGGTTTCTGAGGCAGTATCACTATGTAAGTAGATTGACCCAACCTTCCTTCTGAGAAGTGGCTTGTGAGTTTGAACCACCAGCCTTTTGGTTAGCAGTCAAGTGCCTTAGACACTACACTACCGGAGCTCCCCCTCCCATCTCAGAGATGATGAAATTCATGAACAATGAATTTATACAACTTCCCAAATATTTGTATTTTCATATATATATGAGCATGGTGGCATAGTGCCTAAGGCATTTGACTGCTAACCAGAAGACTGGCAGTTCAAATCCATCAGCCACTCCTTGGAAAGAAGGTTGGACAATCTACTTCCGAAGTGATACCACCTCAGAAACCCAAGGAGGATTACCTATAAGTCGGATCTGACTCTACAGCAGTGAGTTTGGTTTGGTTCTCGCTCTCTCTCTATGTATGTATATATATTTATATGTAGCTCTGTTAGCATAGAGGCATTTGGTTGCTAGCCAGAAGGCTGGTGGCTCAAACCCACCAACTGTTCATGGGAGGAAGATGAGGCAATCTACTTCCATAAAGATTTACAGCCTTGGAAACCCAATGGGGGTCACTATGAGTTGAGATTGACTTGATGGCAGTGGGTTGGGTTTGGTGTGTGTGTATATATATATATATATATATATATATATATATATATACTGCTTAAATCAACAAACTGTACAGAGGGAAGTATCATAGTGTACAATTTTCTAGGAATTTTAAATCATATGTTTAAGTTTTCATTCATTCAAGCCTTCTACTAGTATTGATAAAATCCCAAGCATAAGAATGTGTTGGATTTTGTCCATATTACTGGACAGTCACAATACTTAAAAACAGTTCCTTTCTGCTAATATTCAGTTTTCAGATATAAAAGCACAACTAAAACCTCAAAGTCAAGCGACTCCCTACTCTTTTGCATGAGTATGCATGGAGGTGTCTCCTCAGCCTACAGCCCCCTTCTCACCCTGGCTCTGTCCCACACTGTTACCAAATAACCTGTTGGCTTTGGCCATCCCTTGAGACTAGGGCTGATCACCGTTGTGAAGATTTATAAAGAAGAGGAGCCTGTAGGACATGGCGTCAGAGTTGGGGATGCCTTGAAAGAAATTTCAGGGTCCTGATACCTGGGATATGTTAAGTGACTCCAGGTGGAGTCAGTCAGTGCACAGAGTCCTAGCCCCAGGCAGGATACAGCCAGAAGAGGGTTAAGCAGAGCCCTGGAAGTTACAAAGCATACTAGAATGACCCTGGTTGGTGGGGATTAATCGGTGTGCCGATTACCACAATATGAAAAGCACCAACACACTAGTCAGCACAAAACACAGTAAAAGCATAGAAAGGGGAGATTGTAGCTCTGACTGGGGCAAGCGTGAAAGCCCCTGGGAGCTTCTAAGCAGAGAATTGCCAACTTGCATCATTTTATAATTTATAGAAGTTAAATATTTTTAAAATCATCTTAACACACAAGGCTCAACTATAGCTAAATCCATACTGAAGGCAATAGAACAGTTACGAGTCATTTCATCCTGGTTACTATTCTGTATCATTTACTTAAAGAGTAAGAAAGTGAATTAGACAAATTTTATGGAACTCAGTTCCCTTCCCCCTGTGAAAAGAGAGAGAGAAATCAGAATAATTTATTCTACCATTCATGTGACTTGAGATAACTTTTCACGAAACTGACAAGTGACTCTATCTCACTGCCCAAATGTACAGGACGAGAGACAGCCTATGAATAATAGTGTCACCTTCAGTTGCATAGGATTCTAATTCTGTTGTTGTGAGATGGACATAAATCAAGGGACTCAGACTCTCCAACTTGCAGCAGACTTTGATAGTCAGATTATTCAAATGTTTGTCTCTATCTTATCACCTAGCAGAGGCTCATAAAATACCAAGTGGCAAGTGTAATGCCTATCAATCTGTCACTTGGAAAGGATGTGCCATTTGTTAAGTAGGACACTTAGGTTTCTATTGTTATATTTAAAGAGCAATTTAATTTGACATTTCGTTTCTAGAACCCAATAATACATTTAAGTGGATAAAATAAAGGTGTGAAAGTTTCTCAAAGTGTTTCAAAAGTAGTGTGTCTTTTGTTAGCATACACTTACAATGTGCAAAGCCCGAGTCTGCACTGAGGATGGTCGCACTGAGCAGCTTCTCAAGGCGTGCGGGTTATCCAGGCTGTGCTGAGATCAGGGCTTTGTCAGGCTTGCAGATGTGCCGCCTGCGACTTAATTAGCATAATTGATTAGGAACTAGGACATATTCAGTATTAATCAAGCTGTTTTTAGTGAGGTTGATTATGCACAGTTCCTCTTGATGCACAATCTTAGTTTAAGACTTCCTCAGGATCAAGTTGCAAGAAAATGGCATTATGTAAAAAAGGAGGAATTTCCATGTCCCATTAAAGCATTGTATTTGGTTTGAGGAATATAATAGGTCAAACTCTAGGAGCTTAAACATATTTACATTTTAATGTTTTAAAAAAGTAGAGCTTACATTTAGACTGGATTATAAAATTTGTTCATTAGGACTTTGGAAAAAAAATAGAATTTTATCAGTAGAAATCTAAAGACTCATGGACCTTGATAGGTGATAGGTGAAAATGCTCTACACAACTGCAGAGCTGCAAAAGCCTCCTTTGTGCTTTCATAGCACTTAAAAAAATAAGTTTCTCGCATCATTCACTTCACTCTGCAAAGTACAGATGTACTTCATCTCTCAGGCCACTTATCTCATGCTTTGAACTTTAGTCTTGCCTTCCTTGAATTTCAGTTCTCTCCCCACAACATGTGTTTTGTACACCATGAAGAAAATTGTATTCCTTTGAGTTTTAGAAATAAAAGGACTACCTGTATGTTAAATCATATCTTTCCTTTGACATTGACTCTAATTTTTAGAATATGGTTAGCCTTAGAATTCTGACACCAACAGCATTTTTAAAATGTTATGTAATAACCACTTCCAGTAATCATTGTTGGTCATTGTTAATTTGCATTTAATTCTAGACATAATTCTTAATTTAAATACTGTATTAAATCTCAGAATCTTTAAACAAATTATTAAATTTCATATCACAACTAATTCCCATGTCTTTTGGGATGTCTCACTGAGGTTGAAAACCTTCAAGTTCAAGGAAACACTGTAGTTATCCATTTATTCTGCAAATTAAGCAGACCTATGTGAGATTCCCCTTCACCACCAATCAAATGGTACCTTCTTATGCTAGCATTGCAGGTAGTTTTAGCCCATGAGATTTTTCATTACTGTTTGTCAGTATTTTAGCTAACCTCAGGCCCTAAGAGTTTTTTTTTTTTCTCAGATGATTTGAATCCTTTACTGCTCCTAGATTTCATAGACCCCTCAGTGATGTCCTTGAACCCACAGCTTCAGACAATGCTTCCCATCCTCTCCTCAACCACAGAAAAAGGCAGAAGGGCTGTTTCACAAAATCCTTGCACAAGCAAAATTCCAAGATACGATCCTAGTAATTTTTAGTCAATAAGGCCAGCAGATTTCCCTCTAACCCCACTCAGTATGGCCCCTAATCACCCTGTTTTCATTGTCATTGACCTCTGAAGAAGTGAAGACTACTATTCACACATAACTGCTGGATATTTAGTGTAAAATTACCTTGACTCCTCTATTCTGGCAAAATGTGGAAGGACGATGTTGGTTAAGTGACTCTTTATAAAGAATATATCTTATGGTTAAATTAATTTAATATCACATTATAAATATACAATTTACATGAATGAAGTGAAATACAGTAAGATAATATATACCCTGTTGTCTTCTTGAATAAGTGTATAAAGTGATATATAGTTAGTATTATAATTGTAAACACCATCACTCATATGTGGGCTAGAGGACACCACAGTCCTAGCTACCAGTCTCAGCTCTGATACAAATCAGTTGTGTGATCTTTGAGACAGCAGTAGAGGTCTCAGGTCCTTCATATTTTCACGTATAATATATGAGGGCTGAACTTAAATGGTCTCTAAAATGTGTCTGAGATTTAATTGCCAGATCATCCAGGCTGAGTTGACAGTGAGCTGGCTTATGAGCAGACTGAAGACTCTGTAGCTTTGCATAGTACTGTAGAGGTGTAGGATATGGCCCTGGCCTCTGTAGAGATGTCAAACCAGGCACACCACTATGCAGTGAATGCTGTTATGAAGCATTATTTACAGAAGTACAAAACTTAGTTGTATAGATCATGAAGACTGTAAAAGTTGGGAAGAAGATGAGATATGAGTGAAGCAAGGCAATGCAGTGAAAACACAAGACTTGCATTGGGCCATAAATAGTAAGTTGGTGGGATTTCTATAGGTAGAGAACAGAGCATTATATAAAACTTATTATTAGATAATTTCTTACCATGGGAAGCATCTGAGGACAATGTTCTTTAGGAGTTAGTAAGGTTTTATTTACAATTCTCTTAAATCAAGAACTTTATCACCTTAGCGCTTCAGTGAGATATTTACTGAGAAGCAGAAAACATAAAATC